GCAGGATATAAGAAATCCCATTTCTAAAGCTATAATCCTGCAGCTATGTATATAAGGCAAAACCAGAAGTAGGCAGATTTAATTCATTTTCCCCCTAATAATGGTAACATGAAAACACAATTAAGGGCTTGTTGGATGCATATTTATATTGTGTAAATATAACTTTCTTAAAATTGAATTTGTAGCAATTCTAATACTTGTGCTTAATTTTAGGTATGTATTTGAAAGCAGTGTCTCGCAGGTAGCGTTCATATAACTAAGAGCTGGAAAGATCCAGGTTTAAGTTCTCTTGTTTCTAACAAAATATTTTGCATTTAATTATATTACATTATACCTGTTCACATGCCTGTTTCAGAACTTCTCACTAATGTAGAAAAAATCTGAATTCTCTGTTTCCATGCTTTCTTTGGGTGCTAGCTGGAGCATTTTCAGAATTATCAAAGCAGACAATTGCTTTTAGACTGAAGGCTGCCATATCCCCTCCAGGAGTGCAAATTTAATACATTCCATGGAGGTTTTCTGTTCACATGCTGTGTGCCTGTCAGTAAAACACTTTGTTGCCTGTGCCCACGTGCGCCACAGTAAAACACTTGTGCATTTGAACAGGTTCATGCAGCTTTGCACCTTTGCTCCATGAGAAAAATATAGCTACCTAGGTGCGTACTCTGTCCGCATGTAGCGAGTCTTCAAGTGTATGTGTGCAAGGTTAATGCTTGAAGCTGTGGAAGATCCATGTTGTCACACAGGGTTTTATCCCACAAGTGGGTCAGGTTCCTCAGAAGAATGAAATTTGATTGACCTAGAGATAAGTGGAAAATTCCTCGCCCTACCCCCCCAAATATTTTTAAAGGAGAGCTTACATGTGTAAATATATTTAGTATTAGCTTGGGCGTGACAATCTCAAATGTAAATCTATGGAAAACTGGAAAAAAAAATGTTAAAAACTTTGCATGGGAGTGGTCTTGTATTAGCAAACTTTCCGTTTATTTCATGTACTGTATTTTGTTCTTGCTCCACTAGGACCACCCAGTGCCCCTGCAGAAGAGCGATCAGGAACACCAGACAGCATCGCTTCCTCCTCTTCTGCAGCCCATCCCCCTGGTGTTCAGGCACAGCAGCCACCATACCCCGGAACACAGCCACAGACTGGTCAGGTGGAAGGTAAGCAGCAGGTTTTTCTTCTGTTTAAGACCTGAAAGATGGTGTCTGGCTCTGAGTGATCGGTAGCTATGGCTTCCAATTAGCAGGCTCAAAGCTGATACCAAAGTACAGGTTTCCTCTGTGCCACTAGGCCGAAAAACTTTTTTCCTCACATGCTGTTCAATACAGAAACAGCAGGTGGAGCAGTAGCTTTATTTAAAAGGGTAGATGATGGAACGTGAGGAGGACTTTTATGATACTGTTTCATACTTGCATCCGTGCTCACTTTACTGTAAGGCAGATTGATACTCACCGCACCCTAAAGCTATCTGATGATCTTAGTTCATATCAGACCTTGTGTGTTGTGTCAAGCAGTATTAGTTACTTTTGCTCAGCTAACTGTTACCTTGTCTACCATGAATTAAAAATGTTTACTCATTTCTATCTAACAAAACAGAGCCGTTACTACATTGCTTCTGCACTACGTACAGCTCTGTGCTAGCCAGGTTAAACCTCGTAACTATCTCATCCTGTGCATTGTAGTGTTCCTATGTAACCTGTGAGAGCCTCAGCTGGCTCTCCTTTAAAGCTTAAGGTCTTAGCTCTGCTATTCAGATTCCTTTGTACTGTAGCCTTTTACATGTTGTTTGACTTCTAAAAATAAATCTATTCAGAGGTTTGCTACATTTGGGCATCTTTTTTCTATTGAGCACTGAGCCATCAGACCTGCATAGCTCTGGATGAAACTCTGGAATGACTTGCTTTGGTATTTCTACCTCCGAAGTACAGTATCCATTTGTTTCTGTGTTAGTGAGAAACCAAATTACAATCCTCTGCTGCTTTCTATGCTGACATGACGCTGAGGTAAATGTGAGAGGCATTATTGAGGGTGATGACAGTATCCACAGTCATTGGAGTATCTTGCCTGAAGCGCATCAGTAACATTTTGATTGAGGAGGGTGTTTGAGCAACTTGTTAAGCATAATATTTAAGCAGGCATGGATGCTGTTGGTTGCAGTGGAACTTGTAACATGCTTGTTCTGCTGCTTTCAGCTCTTTTTTTTTTTTTTTTTTTTTTTTTTTTTTTGGCTATTTCCCTAAGAATTAGTGAAGGGATATAAATGAGACAGCAAGAGACATCTTTGTAGCTTAAAGATACAACTGTTTGGTGTTTGTGTGTAAGTTACTTTTGGAAAAAAAAGTGCTTCAGGTTCTTCTGTCAGCAGGTAGAAAACTCAGTATTCAAAAAATACACTCTCAGCTACTGAACTTGTATTTTATGAATTTAGCCTTTTAAATTTACTTTAGTACAATAAAGTATGAAGTGTTAAGTGTTGATGTTTAAACTAGAACTGAAACAAAGAAGTGAAACACTTAAAACACTACCAGCAGTGTACGTTGGAATGCTGAACGGCTGCTAACACCAGGGAAGGGAAAAAGTACTTGTTTCAGCAAAACTCACTTTACTTAAGAAAGAAGTGTCCTAGGCTCGTGCATCAGAGTAGATAGAACGATTTTTCTAAACTTGGGTCAAGGGAAGTATATTGGTTTCTTATTTTTTAAACACTGAACTGTGCTATACCTTTGCCCAGGTCCTTTTTTTTTTTGCATGTAAAAGTACAACAGGGGTTTTGGTCTGTAGTTTATGCAGTTTTTATTATTGCCACTGAAACGTGTTGAGTATTGATTATTTTCTTCACTCTATGGATAAAATAGGATGGTTCAGTTCTTGAGAAAAGATCAGAAGTTGTTACTGAACTTCTTTCATCAGAAATACTAGTGGGAGTGCTTATGCTGTGCATTGTGTGCATATAGTAAATAGCAGTCTCTTACCAAAGTTGGGTAAAAAAAACCCTCTGAGGGTTTTTTCATAAACTAAGTTGCTTTTATCCAAAGCATTCAAAGACTTCCCTTTGGAACATGGAGTGGCTTTCCATACTTCACTGCTTGATAGCACCTCAGTCCAGTGGTAATCTGGGGACCTCCTGTCCTGCTGTCCCACAAAGATGTTTCAGTATAGTGCTGTCTCCTGTGCTTTTGTACTGCTAAATCCAGTTGCTCAACACACACGAGAATCAATCGTGTACTGATGCAGACACTTCTTTAGTCTTGGCTGAAATACACGTAGAAGTTCATTCACGTAAGCACATTATGATCTTCTAGGGAAAAGAATGCGGTGTGTATATACCTATTTGGTCTTTTTTCTGAACAGAGCTAAAATGGCTGTTTCAGCACGCAGGAGCAGTGGTAAATGCTGGCAGATGCAGATCCTTGACTGCAATAAGCAGTGCTAAGTACAAAAGCAGATGCTGAAGCTGCAGCTCATCTTGTTTTCAGAGTAAAAATCCAGCAAGAGGGAAAACTCTGCGTGTTTGAGGACCCATAGGATCACTGACTGCATTCATGGCTGTAAATTAGGAATGTTTTCTTGAACCTCACCGGAACACCTCTTTGCCCCTCGCTAACGCTTCAATGCTGCGGAAGGCAGCAGGTGGCCTCAGAAAGCTTTGGAAAACTTCGTGCTTATTTCCTTTCCTATCCCTTTGCCTGGGGTCTCCAGCAGGTGCCAGTGTGGTGTCTCTGCTAGCCTGTAGGTAATTATCCTGAGACAGGCAGCCTCCTGCTTGTTCTCCCAGAACTTGCCTATAACGAGTGAGGCCGAGAAACAGAAAACATGCATTCTGAGAGAATTTCTAACTCCTAATTAATCAAGCTAACAGGCTTAAATCCTCTTCAAGCCTTGTGTTTAGCACTCTCTTCATCCCACAATAAATGCATACCAAATAATATTTTGAATGACTGCACCAGTATAAATATTTTGAACACCTTAATGTGAATGTAAAATCCTGTTGCTTTCAGCTCCAAATAACGCAGAGAAGAGAAGAAATAAGGAGTTGTATTAAAGCAGTGTGCACAGGAGATTGGGAGGACTTGGAGCAGAGCCGAGTCGCTTTTGCCTTGGTGCAGCTCAGAAGATACAGCTTACAGGATATTTATACAGTCTGCTGATTTTTTCAGAATGAATAATAGCACAGTAACACTTTATAACAGTAAAGTTTCCGTGTCTGCTCCAGTTCAGCTAAGCTTTAGATTTGGCAGCTTTTGGTTTTGTTCTTTGACTGTGCCTGTTACTAAATTGGAAAACAGCAGAAGCATAAAGCCTAAACAGGGCCTGCAGGTTAAGTCTAAACAAAAATTCTCCCTCTTCTTGCCAATAAATTGCGAACGGTGAATTTAGGAAAAATTAGCATTGAATTGGAATACCCAAGTTTAAGAATGTATGGGTTTTATTTTTGCTTTAGGGCGTATACACCAGGGTCTCTTAAGACAACTTGGCTTAACAGCCAGTCAGATACTAAGAGAGGGATGACTTATCTGGAAAATGTGGTCGGAATAAATAATGTACCACTTTGCTTACAGTCCTTTGATGGAGAAATGGTCTTAAAAACCTAATGTAAACAGACACTCTGAGGGCATGTTTACCTTTTGAAGTACTTTAATTTGCAGCATGAGTTCTGGAGCAGACTTGTAAAGATTCCTGCCGTTACCCACCAGAACAGCACTAATTGAGGTGTGTGGCTTCTGGCATCCTCTGAAAACATGAAATAGCCTCACGTACCAAATTAGAACTGTTTACGCTGTTGGAGAAAGATAAACATCATTTAGTCTGCAGAATGGCATGGGTCAGAAACTAGAATCTGTAGACTGATTTTGGTTGGTAGCGAGGTGGAACACACATGCAAATTTCACTTGCATTCAGATTTTTTCAAAAAAACTTTTACATGTTGTGCGAGGGTTTGTTTCTGTGATTTTGAACCGTTAGGGTGTTGTTCTCTGTGTTTATCGTATAGCTGGGTACTGGGCTTCAACTAAAGATGTTTTTAATCCGTAGGTCAGATGTATCAACAGTACCAGCAGCCTGGTTACCCTGCTCAGCAGCCGCAGGCTCAGCCTCAGCAGCAGTACGGTATGCAGTACCCAGGTAAGCAGCGCGCCCCAACGGGGCTCAGCTGTAGAACCTCTCCTTCAGCGCCCGGCCCCATCAGCTTCCATTCCTGATCCTGTGGGGCAGGTCAGGGTGCCGAGCAGCCCGAGTGCCTGCGGTTCCGATGGGAACCGGCACAATTCAGAAATTAGCAGTAAGAGAACACTGTCACTGGCTGTATTTTTAATACGTAGTTGGGAGTTCTGCTGTCTCAATCCTACTCGACTGTGACCAAAAGCAGACTTCGTTATTAGTTAGCAGAATGCATTGTTTGAAAGGTGAGCAAAGTGAATCACCTGAAGTATGAGCAGTTTTCAGGATTAACTTCTGCAGTCTTGGGATTCTAGCAAGTAAGTGACTAATTTAGCTTCCTTAAATGTCGGCGGTATATAAAGATGACCCCTATTTCTTGCATCTAGAATGGTCTGCAGGTACAAAATCTAGCAGTGCGAACTGCAGTCATCACAGTTGTCACTTACTTACTAACTCCTTAGCTGTTACAAGTACTGTCGCTTCAGGGAAGCTTTGAAGTGATAGGTGTTTGGTTTTTTTAACTTGTTGATGTTGCCGATACCTTGAGTTAAGCTGCCAGCAGACTTTTAGCAGAGGAACATTTTAGTGTACTTGTGGTTTATAGGCAGTCAAATGCAAAAAGCTGGCTTTTGCATATACCCAAAGTAAACTTGACTTCAGGACTTTGAGTTATTTACTTTAGAAGCAGCTGGCATCTCATAATGCATAGTGTGTGCTAGGAATCATAATCCAGCTAAAGTACGGGGATGAACCTGTAATGGCAGATTCCGTAACAAATTGCAAGTTGCTTATAATACTTTCAGAAGATGATACAAAGCATTTATCATTCCTTGTTTTAAACAGTCTTCCTTAAACTAAACGAAAGAATCCCATACCATCCAGTGACTCAGAATAGAGCCTGTATGGCCTTTTTTGTTTTTTTTTCTGGTGTGCAATATGTACAGTGGGAGTGCATCAGTTTTGATGTAGATGAGTACACTTGCAGAGCTTATGAAGAAATTCCATGTTTATCTTGGAGAAGGACCCTAGAAAAGTTGGAACTGAAGGTTTGTGCCCCAGCCCTTGTTCCTGTGCGCTGTGTGAGAGAGCTCGTTGATTTGGGTCTCTAAACGGTGCCTTGTTCCCTGCAGATATCTCACCCCCACTATTTGTAATTAGAAGACAGTGACAGACTTTCTGAAGTCTAATTTCAGAAGAAGTAACAAACCTGTTGGAAGTAGAAGGGTCTATCTGTCTGTCTTTAGGCTTAAAAACTGAGGGGGGGGGGGAAAAGGAGTTTGCATCTGCTTTCTAGTCATATCCTACCATCATCTAATGCCTGATTTTACTGGAGAAGTTCCTGTGAAAGCCGTAGTGCAATGCGAGTTCTGCATTCTAAGCGATGTCATCTTCAATCAAGAATGAAATGCCACCAGAACTGATCTGGGGCTCCTCTGTTTCTCATAACGTCACGATTAACCTAATCCTTCAGAAACAGCCTTTTTTCTGAGGGCCTAGTGATAGCAGCCTTTGAAGAGCTCGAGCTCCTAGGATTTGTTTTGTGTTTATTTTGCTGCTGTTCCCATGAGTATTGTCTCCTCTCCAACCCATGTCCCCCGAGAGCAGGATCCGTCCCCCCTCTTGTAGCTCTACTAGGCAACACTGTGGCTATTGACTCATGGTAGTAAAAACGGACCCTTCAGAGCTTTGGCTCATGAGTAAATTTTGATCCCAGTTTCAAGGTGAGTTTGCTCCAGTGCATTCTTCAATCCTTACTCTTTCCGTTCAGGGCTCTGCACTTTTAATAATTTGTGTGTCTGGTGTTTAATGCTGACAGGATTCCAGTCACTGGAGAGGTTTCATTGCAAGTAGCTGCAGGTGTGTTTCATGATGCCTAAAAGTAGCTGTTGCTTCATAAACGGACTTTGTGTCGTTTTAAAGTCTTCAATGAGAGAAATTCCCTTTGGAAGCTGGTTTTATACAGAAAAATCCAGCTTGGGACATGTTTAAATGGGAGCTTTGTATTGAAGTATTCTGTTCTGCACAACTTGTTCACATTTAACTCTAAAGACGTGAAAACACCTATAACTTAACCATAGGTATGACTTATATTAAACCCCGACAATATTTTGATGACAGTTTATAGAGGTTTTTATTTGGGAAAAGGGTTGCATCTTGCCTCATGTGCCAACGCAGGCTTTTTATTTTTCACGTGACAGGACAGTAAAATGCTGTTTGTCTGGTTTTTTTTTTTTTGTTTTTTTTTTCTTTTTCTTTTATTCCTTGTCAGTCACGGAGCACTCGTTTATACTAACTGTTTTCAGTGTTGCTGTGCTGCCAGGCACTGCGAAAACCAGGAACGCGTGCGGTCCGTTCTTGGTTTGCCTTTTCTGTGCTTTGTGTTTGTCACTGCAAAAAAAAAAAAACCCCAAGCCCCCAAAGAAAAAGAGGTGTTTCTGCCGGCGCCCGTGGTTCTTCGCTCTCTCCCCCCGCCTTGCTCTCTGCCTTCCAGCAGGCTACAGCCAGCAGCAGCAG